CGTCGGCGCTGGCTGTCGGGTCCTGCGGGGATAATGGCGGCCTCCTCGGTTTTTTCTGTGCGCGGCGGCGGCGGGTGGCGGAGCAGATGTCCGCGACGGTGCGTCCTGAACTTTCCCCAGCGCTGCTTTCGCAAGTTTGCCAGCCGCCTCGCTGTGTTTGTGAGGGGCGGCGGCGTGCCCCAAAAAATAAAGTTAAAGCGCGGGCGCACGCGCCACGACGGAGCGGGCCGGCAATGACGCCCCAAATGCGGCGAAGCACCCCGTCCGTGGCTCGGGTCGGGCCCGTTCCAAGCGCGCTCAGGAGAAGGGACGGTGAGGCTGTAAATACGCCCGCCACTCGCCTGCCAGACGTTTCCAGAACGCACAGCAGGAGCTCAGCGGGACTCTGTCCCATGGCCTGGCGCCCCGCTGCCGCGCGCTAGCGAGCCGCCGCCACAATTCATACTGCACAGACGCGTGTCTGGCGCTAAAATAAGCGAGCGGCGTAGCCAGACCGCACTCCGAGCTCTACGGGGCCGTCCGCGCATTGGGCGTGTAGAGGAGGGCATGCGCCTTCGACTCCACCCGCAGCGTGCATCCCTTGCATCTCCCCTCCGGATCGGCACCGGCGCCCAATCCGCCCGGCGGCGAAGTGCCAAGGTAGACGCGCGTTGGCGGCGTCGAGGGGCTCCGCAGCAATGGTGCGTGCCAAAGGCACCCACGCTTGTGCAACTTTCCCGCTATCAGGCGGAGGGCCGAGTGTGTCGGGTTGGAGGCGGGAAAAGAGCCTCGGCGTGTCGCTGTAACTCGCCACTGCGCACGCACTACTGCAGATAGCACTGGATACCCCGCATCGACGCAGCGCCCTCCAGCGAGAGAAGGCGAGCCTCCTCTTCAGCAGCCGCCCGAGAGGCCCCGACGGGAACGCCAGCGATGACGCCGGCGGCGCGGGTGTGGAACTTCTCCAGGCGCTCCAGCGCCGACAGCGAAGCCGTGTTGCAGCGCGCCACTGCTCCGTAGAGGAGTTGGGGGGCCCACCAATGAGGGTCTTGGGCAGCGGACGAAGCGTCTCGTATTTCGGACCCATGTTGCCGCTGACACCGCCTCGACCTCCA